ACGAGCTACTAAATTTATTAGGGGCTCGTTTTTTTTTTGCGGGCGAGTATATTTACCAAGAAAAGAGGACCGCTGATAAAATAGGCGGGGGTGGTGGAGGGCCTCTATAGCTCGTTTTTGCTAAATTATACCTTAAATTGACAATATATGTACGTATTTAGAAAGGATTTAATTTATTACGTCTCTATATAATTGTGTGTGCCAGTAATTATAGAGATTTTGATACATACTAGTAATTATGTTTGGGTAAAAACGGGCTGAAAATTTGCATAATGAAACATAATTTCGTAATTTTATAAAATAAATTAATTTTATAATATAAATTTTATAAGATAAATATCATAAGATAAAATTCACTAAATTAACTTTATTTGAATTTTCAATTCCGTTTATTAAAATTCAACAATTTTTATTTACATATGTAGGAGATGCGAAGTTAAAATTTTTTCGTTCAAGGACTCATTAAACTATCCCTCTTATGAATAGTCGGCACGCTTCTATCCTGAGGATTTAGTACAGAGACGAACCACATCTATACTTCCGATAATACGATTTTATCGATAGTGTCAGAAAATGTAATCACGTAGTTCTCCGAAGTTCCCAAACTGAAAATGAATGTGGTGGCGGTAGTGTACGAGCGATTTCGACGAAATAGGAAAAAGGCCGGCGTGATCTGCAACTAGGATTGGAAAATCATACAGAGGTGTTTAAGAAGAAAAAGGTCGGCGTTACCTCTCTCATAGCAATATTGTTATATTTTCTGTACTTCGAGGGGAAAGGTATATATCAGAAAAAGAAGAATGAAAAAGTATTAACTACTACAAAAAAAAGATTAACTTAATTACGAATAGTTTTCTACGAGTATACTATATTATGCATTAAAAATCTTTTTGAAAATAATTAACTTTTAGCGACTCATATAAATGACTTTTTGTATCTTACAATTTCATTTTTTTAGATAATTTAGAAATTGAAAAATTTTATATTTATATTTGAAAATAAATAAACAAGATGATGGTCCACAAGAAACATACAAACCAAACATCATGTATGTACTGTATATATCATATTCATGAAATTTTGTAATTGTTAAGATTTAATTCTAATATTAGAAATAAATAAAGAATGAAATAATAAACTCCTTTTAGATATTATATAATTATCTCTTATATAATTTGTTGCAGTTTAATATATAACAAAATTAATTAATATTAACTTGTTTTCCTGTTTTGAAATGTAAAATTTTGAATGCTGGAGTTCTGAGTCTGTAATCTTTTCGAAAATATAGACCTCTGCAGTTTGCCTTGTGTATAATCTCTGGCAGGTTTTAATTTTCTAACTGGCACATTCTTAAATGCCTCTTTCCAATCTCCCGTGTGCCTCAAATCCAACATTATCTTAATCGTCTGGTTGAGTGTAAGACTCTTTGACGAGCTAGCACCCCAAGTGAGATAATGGTCTATAGGAAATTTAGCCATCTGAATACCTTCTTTTTTAGCTTTTGCCATAGATAATGGTTGTGACTCTCCCTATAAATAAAAATCCAATTTAATAAATATTTATGCAATGAATGCATAGTCTTATTATTAGCTTACCTTGTCTACCAATGCACCTATGATATAAATCATATTTGGATCATATTTAGTTAAATTTGTTCTACAGTGTGGAGTGAGATACACTAATTGATTTTTTGGAAATATATCTAAGTAAGATTGCGATGTTATTACGATAGGAAAATCATCTTGCATCAAAGTAGGTATGTTTTGATGAATATGCTGCTTGAGTAATCCATCTTTGTTAAAATTACAGAAATAAAGAGTCAGAGGATTGGCATGGACGCGATTATGAGCAAATGACAAAGATAACTGCTTGCTGCAATTGTGTATCTCACGTCTAGTCATATGGTTCTCATAACCACAATCAAACACTAGCTTTGGTTCAAACATCATATTATAAATCAATCTGCCATTGTAATAATGGTTTATAGTTGTGTCATATATACGCAAAAATAACGAATTATTCAAGAGGCCATATTTTATTTCACCAGTGTCCTCGGTCAATTCTTGCTTTTTAGCGAGCCATTCAGCCTTCCTCAACTCTTTTTTCTCCTTGTCATGTTCTGATTTTTTCTCATTACGCCACAAGAACTCAAGGTATTTTCTGCACAAAGAAACATGTTTCGATTAAAATTAATTCAAGGAGAACTTTTAATAAATAAATAAATAGAAAATAAAAAAAACACTGACTTTCTTTTTGCTTTGACCCTTGTATTCAGTAGCCACAACCATTCTTCTGGTTCAATATTCTTAGGTACTCTTTCAGCATTGTGTCGCAAAACGTCTACTTCTAATTCTAATATTTGAAAATGCTTGTACTTCTCGGGATCGGACAGAAATTCATCCAGTTTCTGCTTACTCAACTTTTGCCTATGATATTTCAGTTCGAAACTCGTTACATTTTTCTCATCGATCACACCATGGCAGTAAAATCGTTTGTAGACTGCATTATTTAAACATCGAGCATTCACATTCGAGAAATAAAGTCCAGGCGACAAAACATCCACGTGGATTAATCGGGTTAATTTCTTGTGAATCTTAACTGAGGCTATCAAGCATTTTGTCATGTTATTAAACATTCTATAAGGTAGTTACTACAATTTCTTATAACAATAATGGTCACTTTGTCATAAACTGCAAGAAGAAATTTGAAGAAAATTCTAACCTATTTTCTAACTTATGATACACAGCGCTATCAAGTGCTTTAAACATAAAGTACGCCCGATGCAGTCAACGTAACGTCTCTACATACAAATGCTTCGTAGCACTCTTTGATTGGCCGATTCGTCAAATTCTTTCTTCCGATTGGTCAACGGAGCATTTATCGAGCCAAGTGGACCGCATTCTGGATATTGTACGCAATGTGAATTTACCATAACTCTCTGATAGTAGGAAATCCACACCACAGGCACAAGGTAAGAAAAAGAAAAGAAGTTTGTGCCGTTTGTGAGTGCTGCATATTAAACGTGTGCCTCTAGCAGTCTCTATTGGAATTGTTGAGAATCCGATAATCGAACGAAAGGTTGGATTTATCAGTTTATGTAAGATAAATAATTACTACATCGTGAATGTGTTATCGCAATACGCTATTGCAGATATTAACAAAATGGAAATATCGTTTGGGATGCGTATTAAATGTTGCAATCGGTATTCGTACGTATTCGGATAACGGCCTTCGAGTACTTTCAACGAGTGGCAGGCTGTTTCGCTTGGATTCCATGTCATTTCATTTTTTTTTCTCTTGAGCGAAATTTCACGATGGAAATAATTTTTAACTAACAGTCTACTCGAAAACAGTTATCAACAGGCTTTACCGTTCCTTCGATTTTTTGGTATCGCGATAATTTCTATTTTTAGCATCTCGCGTCATGCTAAGATATAACGATAGGCAACTAGTTATTACATTACTCCATTATCTGATGACGATTTTTTTTTGCGTTTTAAGTAATTATATAAATTGAAATGCAAACGTTCTCGTGCTGATTTGGATTTATATACATTGTTTTGATATATTAGCGCCTAGCAAGATCTTGTATTACTAAATTAATAGAATATTAGAAGAATAAATTAATAGAAAGTTTTGAACATTATCAAATTTAATAATTGTATTTTTTCTGTCAGATTCTTTTGCTTTATGCAAAAGTGTGTCGAATTAAATTAATTTCGTTGGTTTTTGTGGTTAAGCCTATCTCTTTCATAACCATTACATTATCAAATTTCTGATATTAATAGATAGAAGGAAACCATGCATAAGAGTGGACCACCACCACCTTACGAACCACCACCTTATGCACCACCTGCTTATTCTCAAAATGTAGGAGGCGTTCCTCCAGCTAGTCCATTTACACCAGCACAAACTTGTAAGTCAAAAAGACATTGAATTTATATTAATATAATTGGCAAAAATACATATTAATTATCTTTTCTATTATCTTTTCTATTAATTATCTTTATACTTGTTTTACAGATGCAAACGGACCTACTATAGTCACGACTATTGTTCCAGTTGGGCCACAGTCGACTCATACAATTTGTCCACACTGCCATGCTGAAATAGATACGGTGACAAAAACTGAACCTGGCATGATCGCTTATATCTCAGGTGTCATCATAGCACTGTTAGGGTAATTATGAGTAATATTCAGATTATGTATTATGTTTATATATAGATGTGTACAACGTATAATTATTTTTCTTTTATACTAGATGTATATAATGTGTAATTATTTTCTTCTATATTAGATGTTGGTTTGGTTGCTGCTTGATTCCCTGTTGTATAGATGAATGTATGGATGTTCATCATACCTGTCCAAACTGTAAAGCTTATTTGGGCCGTCATAGAAGATAAATGGATTGCATCCATACATTGCATTTGAATATTGAAATGTCTATGATATACCACCAATTATATACTAAACTCAAATTTAACTTCATACATTTTAGGGGATACCTCTATATGAAAGAGAAAGAAAGATGTAGTTCCAATTAGATTCAGTTAAATCTTTATAATGAATGATGCATCTTTTTGTTTATTCAAGTAATTTTATAGTTCTGTATAATTTTTTAATATATACATGTAGGGCGTAAAATATTTTATTTTAATTCGGTACGGTCGACTATCTTATGAAAAGCATTTTCGAAAATAATATTTCAGACAAAAATTGTGTAAAGAGAAGAGGGGTAAATAATGACAAAATCAATCTTTGAAAAAATGGATTTTTCAAAGTTGTATTGAAGGTCATCGCCATTTTTAAAAAGTGGAATTGTATGATTTTTTTACATAGTATTCTTCTAGTTATTCTACATATAAAAGTATTAAAGTAGAATTATTAAAAAATCTATCATTTTTTACGAAATATTTTTTTTAAATATTCGTAAAAAAACAATTTTTTGTGAAAATAGATTTTACCATTATTTGTTGTCTTTCAGACCGTACAACTTTTGTTCAAAAATTTTTCTCGACGTCAAACTTAGGAGATACACTGCTATTTCTATTAAACTAGGACACCCTGTATATACATACACATGTAATTTTATTGCATACAATTTATGTGTATGTTATTTGTTATTTTTTGTACGGTTTTTAAAAATATTTTTCATGTTTTTGCATGAAGCTAATGAAAATAGCAAAAAGCATGTTTCAAAATATTTATGTATAACTTGTAAAAGAAGTGAAACAGACTTGTACTTCCATATTGATAGAAAGATTTATGCTTCCCATATTTATTTCCATTATTAACGTAACGTACTATAGACTGTCTACAGCATTGATTTTTAAAGATTTATTATATTATTAATCATAATTTATGTCAGTTTTTGGAGCAAATGTTATGTTTATGTTTAAAACAGAATGTTAAGATTGACCATGAAATTGATAGGCAGCAGTATGTGCAGCTCATATCTTTATTCATTCAGGCGTCCAACTCAAAATAATTAATGATATCATACATATTAATAAATTTTCTTTATAAAGAATTGGGTCATGGTCAAGTGAAGATTACTCGCAATAGTTTATATAATTGAGGAGAAACGATTGATTTTACATTAAGACCTTGATTTAAAAAAATCTTAATTGACAAATCGGTCTTGTACATTCATATTATGAAAGTATAAGACTTCTCTTAAAAATCAGTAGATTATTAAGAGAAGATTTGTGTGTTGGTAGCTTATATTTTTATATCATAGAGAATAGACGGCAGCTAAAATATCATGTTTCGAATTTGGAAATTCAGAAATATCATACTTGTTTAAAAAGAAAAAAAAATATATATATATATATATACAACATACACACACATACATATATGAAATATTTAACTTTTACATGTTATTAGCTTTTATATATAAAGCAATTGCAAGCATTACTTTGATCGAATATCTTAATGCGCACGAATAATAAATTTGAAATTTGCCGTTTGATAAAATGAATTCGATATTTAATTAGTTGTCAAATTCGATACATGTATAAACGCAAATAAGTAAAAATAATAATCAATAATATGAGCTAGTTACGATTAAAAAGATAAAATTTATTTTGAAATTATTTAAAAAAGAATGTTAAATTCAAATGTACGTTTCTTGACTATATTAAGTCTTCCTCACCATAAGAAATTATTACACAGGAAAATTATAAAACAGATTAAAATATAAATTAAAAATTTTTTTAAATAACATATATAATGACATTATATAATAATTAAGAAAATAATAAATTAGAAATAAACACGAGAAATACAATGTCTATAAAAGATAATTAAGAGTATGTAGATTGTCCAAAATAACAGCAATTACAATTAAAATAATTACGTGTAAGATCGGAATCCGATCCACAGACAGATCTTGCTTATTTTTACCCACGTGTGCCTTAAATTAAATAAAACTTCCTGTGGCCTTACAAGATAATTTCTATTTGATAACACAATTGTAAGATTTTTGTCAAAATGCAAATAAATTAATATTAATTTGCATACATATTTGATGTATCGCTTTATATATTTTATTTTTTATATAGCATGTAACATTTGCGATATTTAAATGAAAAAAGAAAAATATTGTACAATGATAAATTGTTTAATATGTGCAATAAAATTATTTTACTCTAGAATTCTAGAATATTCATTTTATTTTGACCTATTGTAATAACTTCATTCGAAATAGTGTAAATATATGTATATTTGTTTCAAACAAAAATGAAAATCAACAAAGAAGTATTTATTGTGCTGTGTAATTTCTTCATAAATTCAAAATAGTAGATAAGGTGGATAAATTTTTTAATGATTATTTCACTAAATGTATGTTAAACCAATGTTAATGAAATATTAGAGTAATATCAATATTTTTATATTATGTGCAAAATATGCTATAATGAACGTCATTTCTAATTTTTTTAAATTTAACTTAAAATTCGTAGTATTTTGGGTCGAATCAACAATTCAAAAAACATAAAAATATACAATCTTGCATAACTACTGAAGAAATGTTAAGGATACTTGATGAATTTATCCCTTATATTGAATTGTACTTTTTATTCACTTTTTCTCTTGATAAGAATTATTATTTATTTTATTTTTTAAATTATTGTTTATAAATAGAAGTCGAAAAAAATGTTTATGTGAAAAAATTAATGTCCCTTGTATATATTAATACAAAAAAAATTTATATTAAGTTTAAAAGAAAAGAAGTAATCAATAAATGCTTGCTTATTAGGTGTTAATTCCTGCCGTTTTTCGTCTCCAAAATTGATTTGTTTCGAAGGGAAATACCTTAATCAAAGTATTATTAATAAAGTATTTAAAAATGCAAGATACAATTTTCACGAGTCGCTCAAACCGGCCGTGTCAGCAACAAAAAGAATCACGTGATCAAAATTGACGCTTGATATTCGTCAATTTTGATCACGTGATTTTTCTTGCGCTGAACGGCCGGTTTGAGCATCTCGTGAAAATGTATACATACTGTGTACCTGTGATCATAGATTAACTTAACCCCAGAAGTTGGTGAAAGAGGCCTTAAAATTGGAATTGGAATATTTGGAATTTGTACATCGCAAGATTAATCCACGTTGAGTAACAGGATGGCTGATGAATACCCAGATTTAGATATGGATGAAGAATTCGACCTTATTCATAAGGCAGACTATGAAGCTTTGAGGGAACTAGAAGGTAAACATAATGACTCTTGAATATTTTTGAACTAGAATTAAAACGAAGAGAAACAAGTTGAGAAATAAATTGATACTTGAAATCTCATTTAAACGTTTTCCTTATATTTTATTTTATTGCATCTTGTCAAACAAGTAATAATTAGCTAATTTACTTGAAGGTGAACTATTTGAGAAAAGACAATTGCCGCAATCTAATCCCGGCCCTAGTAATAGTGAAATATCTTGGACAGCTAATAACAAACATCAAGCAAGTGTTGAAATTTCTGCACCTGATAATGTTGATAAAGTCAATAACATAACTAACAATAATAAAAACTATTTATTGTCTCAATTTGATCCTGGTCCTAGTACTAGTGGAATATCTTGGACAGTTAATGATAAACATCAATCAAGTGTTGAAATTCCTCTACCTGTTAATGCTGATGAAATCAACAACATAACTAGCAATAATAAAAAACGTGGTTATGAAAAATATTGTGACAGTATACCTAGCAGTAGTAAAAAACGTAGCTGCGAAGAGTTGCTTAATGACATCTCTAATTTGTTAGACAAGGATATCTCAGGTAATCAAATTGATAACTAATCAGTAACAGAAATGATTTTATTTTTGGGATAATTGTCATAAAATCTTTGTTTCTAGTTGATACCTATGATGATATTACAGAAGAGCCAAAAGAAAAGAAGCTTCGATGGAATCAACCTAAAGAAGTTATTAAGAGAATCTTAGATGTTAGACAATTACTGCATGAAAATGAAAATACATCAATGAAGACAAATTGCAATAAGTGAATAATTAGTAATTTGAAATGATTTGCATAATAGAAATTATAATATTTATAATATATTGCATCCATATTGTTTCTGTGTTTACTACAGCAAGAACAACTCTATTTCTTTACGAGTTCCATCATGGAATTTTGTGGCTGTCACAAGATCGTATGATTATCAGCGTTTATATATTAGAATCAGAAATCAACAGAATAATATCAAACAGTCCTCAAATCCAATTGCTAATTTGTCTTCAGTACCCTATAAACAATTGAAAATCCAGGCTAAAGAAATCGTATGTCTATTTCTCAATTTTCTTTATATTACATTTTTGTTATATAAATCCTAATGTGATGTCATATTATAGATGGCAAGAAAACAGGAGTTATCTAGGCAATCGTCATCTCTATGTGATACAATAAATATGATTAACGATGAGTTGTGGGTCGATAAATATCGACCTCGATCATACATAGAGTTATTATCAGATGAAACCGTTAATAGACAATTATTATATTGGTTGAAACTTTGGGATAAAGTAGTATTTAAACGAAATGTTATAAAGCCAAAAAAAAAGTTGCCTACTTTTGGAAAAAAGGATAATGTTGATGACAAAAAAGACATTGAGGAAGTGGATAGTAAAGGATATCCAATAAAGAGGATAGCCTTACTCAGTGGTCCACCTGGATTGGGAAAAACGACTTTAGCACATATAGCAGCCAAACATGCTGGTTATAATGTTGTAGAAATTAATGCAAGTGATGAAAGAACTCCTGATAAGTTTAGGTAATATACACTCGTATAACATTAGTAATACAAAATTAGTAATATGAAAATTGTATTATATATTTCTATTTAGACAGGTTCTCCTCGCATCAACAGAAATGAAAGCTGTGATGGGAGCTGATCCCCGACCGAATTGTTTAATTTTTGATGAAATTGATGGTGCACCGGCTGCATCTATCGAACTTTTATTAAAATTTACTCAAGGTAAATTAATAGCGAAAAAGAAAAAGAAAAAAGAACAATCAGAAAATATGTCTGATGGCTGTACACGTCCTATAATATGTATTTGTAATGAACCATATGCTCCATCGTTAAGGTAATTTTAATTAAAAGCATCAAATAATATAATAAAAATTTTAACATATACTATCTGAATTAAAAAATAATCTAATTTTTATATTTATAGAGCATTAAGAGCCGTCGCCGTAATAATTCCGATACAGGAAGTAAGTCCTTTAAGATTAGCAGAACGTCTAATGGATTTAGCGAGAAAGGAAAAATTAAATGTAGACTTTAATGATCTTGTAAAAATAGCGGAAAGATCCGGTTGTGATGTTCGAGCTTGCATAGGAGCGTTACAATATATGGGTAGCTCTAATTTGAAAGATAATTTATCTCTAGGTCTAAAAGATACTCGTAAGAATTTATTTGATTCATGGAGAAGTATATTAACGATTCCTATGAACAAAGAGGGAGTGCTTAATATTTCCGAAAGAATACAGAATATTTTGAGGACTGTGCAAAATGGTAATTTTATAATTGTTTACGTACTTTAATGCAATTTTTCCTTTACAATTTTTCTGTATTACGAATTTTAACATATATATACATATATATATATATATATATAACAAGGAATATTTCATAATTACCCTGAAATCTGTGACCGGAAACTTAATAACGTACCTATGTCTCTGGAATGGTTTCAATTTTATGATTTAGTAATATCGCTCGTTTTACACAAGCAGATTTGGTCACTTATGCCCTACACAAATTATGGATTTATTGCATGGCACTTGTATCTTGCACGAACACAGAAAATGAAATTATCATATCCCACCGTTACCAACGAAGTAAGTATTTTACATACACATACAGACGTTATTGTTAAAAAATATGTCCCAAAATCAATTTTTTATGATTATAAAAGTTATATGATTTTTTTTTTATATAATAAATATCCTCTGTACTTTATCTTGTCCAATTTTGACATGAAATATAGAGCATCTTGTAAACTATTCATTTTTTTGCAACTGTACTTTAATATAATACTTTTATTTGTAAACTATTTATTTTTTGGCAGCTGTACCTTAATACTTTTATTTACAAAATGAAATAAATTAATTGGAGAAAAAACACAAAATTACTTTTTTAAAAAATTATGTAATTTGCAATGTGTAACTACATTTTTTTTTAAACAACTATGTTTTTTTACATCAATTGATTCATTCTGTGCATAAAAGAATGAAGGTACGATTACAAAAAATGATATCGATCAAGTGATGAAATAGTCATCTAAATTCATACGTTGAAGTATTAACGTGTAAGAATTATTATATATATGTATAATATACATACGTATTTTTATATAAATATTGTAATTCATTTGGTATAATAGATATTATACGATAATTCTTTGACAAATTTTTAAAATGTTTCATTATTCTTGTCATTCTTTTAGATAACTCAAAAATCGGCGAAGAACACAGGTATTTTAACAGCTGTACGAAGAGTATGCGGACGTGATGTTTTCACTCTAACTACAGATATCGCTGGTTTTTTGCCGGACATTCTAACGCCCAAATTGCGAACAGTTCCTTCCCATTTATATTCGTCAAAAGAGAAGTCTGATCTCGCCAGAATAATAAATGTGATGCTTGAATTTGGTTTATCGTTCGTGCAAGAAAAAAATTCTCAAAGAGGATACATCTACAATTTGGATCCGTATGTTATAATAACAATAGTTATTCATTAACACATGTTCGACATCCTATTTAGAATAGAACATATTCTTTTTTTTTTTTTAGTAATATTTTGGAAATTGGCGTTTTTCTTAATTGTAATACGCATCGAAATCTCGCGTACGCAGTACAACAGATAATCACACAAGAGTTGGAGGTCGAACGTTTAAAGCGTGCGAGTATCTTAACGGGACTCGGTGAAGTTAACTCGGAAAACGTGGCAAAACCAGGAAATCCGGAAATTGTAGAAAATGTTCAGAATATATCTTCCAATGTTGTAAATAATACGAAACAATCCACAAAAGATGCGACATCATTAAAGGAAATAGTAAGTTTTATGCGTTTTTCTTTTTATTGTCAATCTCTTTATACTTAACAATTTTTCAGGTGTACAAAGACTTTTTTGGAAATATCATTACGGGTGGAAGTAAAAATGGTCAAAAACAGAATAAAATAATGAATCGTATATCCCCGAAATCACAAGAAAAATATTCTCTGATGAAAAATATTTTAACAAAACATGGAGTATGGTACAAATATAAAGAAGGTTGCAACAATGCCGTTCGCCGAAATGTATCCATGAAGAAATTTTTATAAATAGATTGACTTGAGTACAAACTGCGAGTACGTCTTTATTCTTGTGCTTCCAAGAATGTATAGTATTCTTTTTTTTCTTTTTTTCATGTATACATGATATATTTGAAGAGTTTTTCACAAAAACTAAACAAGTCCAGAAAATTACATTTTGAAGAAACAAAACTTCTCATTTTCATCGTATGAATGATATTAAATGATTGTAGAAATGAATTTTTCTCTAGAGAGATATATAGTAAAATATATAATACAAAATTTTAAACTTTGATTAATATTTGGAGGACATTTTTTTTTTAATTAAAAACCTCTGAACCTGTTTAGTTCTTACGGAAATTTTATATTTATTACCTGTTTATCCTATGATATTACTTTATATTTATCTTAAAAAAAACAGCGATAAAGCAAAATTAAATATTTAACACTTTTTTTTTAATGTGGACATTATGATATTGCTTACTTTTGCGTCAGATTCCATATTTATGATATGCCGCTACAATCTTATAATAAAAAAACTAGAGAAACAGTTCTACTATATTAATATACAAAAAGGAAATGGATAAAAGTTACAAATTAAAAATTATCTATCTCAATGCTTCAACTGTGAGTTAGCTATTTACTTTTGCTCCTAGATTTATAATCCTATTTACGTATACAAAGAAAAGGAAGGAAAATAAAATTTAGCGTTAACTTTGCATAGTTGAATTGCTCCTAAATTCTTTAAAAAAACGAAGAAAACTCTGTATCAGCCAAATCGTTTCACCATAAAGGGGAATGGTAGAACTTAAGATCCAAGTGGCCGTGTTGATTAGTGCCAGTAGCCACTTCCTGACTGCACGACGGTGACGGTTTCACATTTTTTTCTGTTTTTTCAGCCTCCAACAGAACAGGGACGAACGACTTGGTTTGATTATCCGGCACGACAGGCGTCGGAACAGTGTTCATCTCAAGACTACGTTGCTTCTGCTCCTCTTCAGAGTAGAGGCTCAAGGAACGCGGCCGCTCCAGTTTCAACGGTGGAGGCGGCGATACATTGCCATTGTTGCTATTACTGAAAAATTAACTTGCCTATCAAGTCGTGACAGGTGACAGGCAAGCAAGCAATATGCAATCGGTAGCAATATGCACATTACATGGTTTTTTTCTGTCTTGCCAGTCTCAAATACGCAAATCTGTCACGAGCGTATTCTCACCGAGGATCTCTTATATACAATATATACAAACTCTATTTCACACATACAATTGTATGCGCAGTTAACAATTAATATAAAACATGCTTCGCTCAAGCTGGTGAACGTAAAACGTTAAAAAAAACCACACAATTTCTTATGTAAACATAAATTATAACATTGAAAAAAAAATATAATGCCATGTAAGAATATTATAAAACATTGTTTACATTGAAAAAAATTAATTGCGCGAACAGGACGGCGCAACGGAATAGAATTTTTATTTTTCTTATTCGAATAAATATCAAGTTTTACAATCATATAATTAATGTAAAAAAATACAGATAGTTGACAATCATTACGATTATTTTTGCATCGACAGAATTTACTTTTTCACGAATACATAAATCGATTATTTATTTTGATATTTATAATATATAAATATTAAATAAATAAATATTAAAAAGTGGCAATTGCAAGTTTCATTTCTTAAAATACTTATATACATTTAAGATTGCATCTTGAAACACTGATGTTCTAGACCATAAATAAGATATCCACAATAAGATTAAAAACAAATTCTTTTGCGTGTACAAAAATTGAAAAAATATTCAAATTCCTGATTGGGTTTTACATCTTTTTAATTAAAGGGAACGTAAATGTGATGGTGCGCACAGCAAATTAGCAAATAAAACTTTATTAACTCATATACATATAGTTACTAATAGTTACATACAAACTTATAAACTACAATTTAATTTTAATACATACAGCGCATCAAATAAATATATATAATGTACATATTCTTATGCTCATAAATTATATAAATTAAGCTGGAATGTGCGTGCGTGCGTGCGTGTGTGCGTGTAAACAAACATTTTTGACGGGATGTTGGCGTCTTCGGTTTTACTGATAGAACGAAATAATTTTTGTACTAATTTTTCATAGGATGAAAGATCATATTACTGACATATACATTAAGCATATAGTTATATTTAATTTTGTGGACATATATACAACTGATGATACTATGATCTTAACATTTTTTTTTCATTTCTCCAATTACAAATTTTGTAAATAAAATGAAAAAATTTAAATAACATTGATCCCTTATTTTTTCATTAATATATATGTATAATAATCAAATTTAATTGTATTTAATATTGGTAACTTCTGGTAGATATATATCTATATTAAAAGGCACAGTACGAGATCTTTCCGTATTCTAATGGAACGATTTTCTGAATCGAATTCCTAAAATAAGGCTCTATAAAAGTATAAACAAAATGTACTTCGACAACACAATTTCATTCAATTTTATGTAAAAATTAATTCAGAGATCTATATGATATTCATATAAATTTCTTAATGCAAATTTTCTTGATATCTCAAATAATGAGCTTCAAATAAAGAGAAACTGGAAATTGGATGTTACACTGAAGTAAAAAGTCCCTAACTGAAACGAAGTTTTATGTGATAATCAGATTTTTTAAAATTTGATTCGCCATATTGGATCCACTATTTGAAATTTTTGAATTCTGAGGCAAAAAAATCGATTATATCTTGGAATAAAGTTGAAAATTATAAAAATAAGTAAAATCATTAAAATATTAATTATTTACAATTTATTATTATTATTATCTATAATAAATATTTATAATTTATTATAATTATATTTCATTTCATTGGTCAATATCTAATGAATTTGCTCCCTTTTGTAATTTTTATCTCATTTCAATTGACTTTCAAAATCAGATTCAAGAATCGATCTCAAGAATCCTTTAAAACCGAGTTTTGCAATATATATAAACACAATCAAATTTTTTTTTAATTTGCCATATTAAATCCATTATTTTGAATTTTTTAATCTTAGATCAGAATCAGATTTAGCGACCCCAAAAACCTTTAGAAAGTAAGATTTTCTATAAGTTATGCTTTGTTAGAAAGCGCCGGTCCTCAAAAGATTAATATCCAGAACTCTAGATTGTGTACGGTTTTAGTGCTCACGCGCTTCATTCTATAACTGTGTTCTGTTATTCACTGCGAATACTAAAAATCTATAGTAACATGAACTATAGATTTTCAGATTTTCAGGAACGCAATCTTTATCACTCATTACTTATAGTTACAGAAGAAAAATAGAACGAAGCTTGAAGAAAAACAGCATAAGTGCCAAAACCGAACGCAACCCTGAATTCAATGGCTATTTTCTTTTTCTAATAGACCACAGCTGAGATCAGGAAATTCGCAATTTATATTTATTTTGTATATAATCTAATTAATGTAGCAAAATTCAATAATTATTAACACATGACATTGTTACAACGAATTGTTTGAAGCATCTTGAATTATTTCAAATATTCCAGATATATTGAGCACATATACTCTTAGTAAGATTTTTCAAGCTTCGAGGATGATCATTAAAAAGGAAAAAGTTTGTTTACAGTGCAACAATGCGTAAAAAAATAATAACATATACTTTCAGAAATTTTCTCTCACAGTTCTGCTAATTTAAAATGCGCGTTACGTTTGCTGAGTATTATTTTATTCCTTACGATTAAAAATTTTATTTGGAGTTTTTTAAAAATTAAATTTTCAATACAAACTATGAGAGAAAGTCTTCCAAAATATCACAACCAAAAGATATTGCACATAATCTCTTTCATGTGTAATATTATTACACATAATAGTCTTCAATTAAATATTAAAGAAAATTAAAAGGCAAGCACAGGCTCAGATTGAATCACTTCAATAACCATTCCGTGAATTTTACTCACCCAGTATGCTCGGCTGATTGACCAAGCATCGCTGTGTTATGGATTATCTAAAAGAAAGCGTCAATATGTAATGATTAGTCATGCTACGCTTTGTTACAAAGTTAAGAGAAATGTGGAAAGCCTAAGAGAAATTGCATGGTTAATGTTTTCAAGTATGCAATAATATTAGATTTTAATGAAGAAGAAAATGTCTGTGTAAATATCGCAAATATGTTTAGCGATAAGAAATTTTTACGCTTGATCTCATTCAATAGCAACTAGAAGTATAAATATTTTCTGCATAGAGCCATATATATTTTTAGCAATAACTAAAAATTTTAGATTATTTTTTTATGTAATTAAAAAAAAATAATGCCTCTATTATATATATATATATATATATAATATCATTGCAATTGTGCACACAATTTTTGCTCTCTCTTTTCTCCATCTCTTCTTTTTCTTTTCTTCTCTAATACATCACAATTTAATGTACATTTATGTAATTATTAGTATAACATCAGAACTGATAAAATAAAACGTGACTTAAAAATTTTTCTCAGCTACTCTATATCGTTGTACTCACATTTGCCATAGAGCAGGGCGGCCGCGCCGCAGCGTATCTACCGAATGAGCTACGCGAAATGGATGCCACGTATGGTACCCCGTTGAGACTGAAAAGTAATATATTATTTTCTTCCATATAACTGTAAACCGTTTACGATTCGCATCTGTCGCTTCATAAATCGTAATTCGATTTGACGCACCTACCTAGCACCGTTCCTTCCGTTACTGTCATTATTGCCCGGCGTACCATCGTCCAAGTTCACTCTTGGAGGTAAACTGTATCTATTGCTCCTTACGTCTCGACTCTCTACAAACGCGAAAACAAAAGTTTTCTTGAACTCTACTCTTGAAATCTACTCGTAACTTTTACATATATCCAACGTTTTTAAATTTTAGGTGTGCGTTAGAAATTCTTTGATTAACTATACTTTCCCGCAAAAAAACGGACTTCTGTAAGAGTTAGAAAAAAATTTACTATTTCTAAATAATTTTACTTTGTTTCAGAGAAACATTTTATTTAAGTAGTTCTTAGTAAATATTTGAGATATTCAAGAAAATAATTCGTTTGCTAACATTAATGTGTCACACATTGCGTGCATTCAAAGAAAATTCATACCGAAGTATTAATTACGTACCGTCATCAAAGAATCCTTCAAAGACGACAAATTTATTGTTCTGTGGGATAATCTTCGAGAGTCCGTAGTATTTGCGTAGAAAAGCTAAGAACTTCTCCGATGGTCGATCAATTGCCAATTTCACTGGCCTAATGTTTTCCTCCTATAAATCAAAATATTTTCCATTAAAATATTTAGAATAAAAACAAAAAGATATTAAAATAAAAATATGAATAAGCGAATAGGAAAAGGATAAAATAAATAGTCTCAAAATAAATATTCGCATTTTATAATTTAAAATGAATTATATGTCATAAAAGAGTAAGACATTAATTAATTATCTGCTTCTAAGCAAAAAGAAAGACAAATTAAACTTGATTTGATTATACACATCATTTTAATTGCTTACGTCGAATATTCTATAAATAATGCATTATTATATGGAAAATATTTCAAATAAAATTTATATGGTCTGAAGGGACAAATAATTGTAAAATCAATGTTCAAAAAAATTGATTTTTTTACAGTCACATAAAGATTATCGCCATTTTTTTAAATAGTGCGCGCGCGCGCATATTTCTCTTAATTTATTATTAGCATAACTATGTAGCGAGATAGTATTTCACTAGACCTTAAACCGTTCAAGTTTCGATTAGTTGATACTGCATACGTATGCATGTATACACGACCATGAAAGAATGTAGTAGCATAAATGTAATTAACTTTCATAGGTCAGGCTGCCGCGTCGCCGGATGCGATTAATCGTGTTTGATGCGAAAAATCAAGTTTCTAATATTAATTATTTCACGTAAAAGAAGCGTGATAGTAGGAAAAAATACCTATCAGTATACCACTATAAATACAAACCGACGAACCGTGCCGAAACAAACGGGCTGGTTGAGTTCAGTCACCTTGCGAGTTACCTTCGAGCGTAACACCCGCTTTCCTCTGTATGCGATATAATATAATGACCTTTCGTCACGCATTTATTTTTAAGATCAATCACGTTTTCACAATATCTCGGTTTTCTCGCGAGAAAATCACGGCGACCACGAAAGAGTCCGTGCATTATAAAATTGCAATCACGCGAGAAATACGAAAGTCCTAAGCAACCGTTTACAGCGAACTGAGCGTTTCATAAAGTTTTAGTATCGAAGTTGATATAAAAACATCGCGTTTCTAATTAGCACGTTTTCTTATTTGTGCAATAAAATTATCGTCTTTTATACGTATGTAATAAAATCATCGTTTTTAATACGTACAAAACATCGCGCTGTATAATCGCAAGAAGTTTTGTCAATAGGTATATTATTAGATACTTTGACGGAGAAACTAGAATCAGTTTTTACTATGATCAAAAGAAATATTATCTGTCGCATGTATCTCACACGTTGATGTCATATAACATTGGATACGCAAATAATTATGACGTCGTACTTTCGAATGAGTCATAATATGAGAGGTAAGTGAAGAGATATAAACACAAATGCCGTAGACACGAGTTTAGTCGAGTTTGAAGTTTTATTCGGTGCGGTTGTAATCAATGCACGTTCATTATTTGTAGTGAAATCCTAGTAAATGTCATAAGCACGGTTGAGCATAACGACACATACGCTCACTTTGTGACTGTGCGTGTTTCATCTTAATTTTCATCATAATAACTGATTATTTCGGCTTACAAGTAAAAACAATGAAACTCACAATTATCAACTTGATTTCAAATCTTATCTAGATATCATAAAATATATATTAATATACACTATTATATTATATTACATACAAAATTAATATTTCAATTAAACGCGCTTGTGAAATCTTGGTGATTTTTTCAAAGTTCTTCGTGCAATATAAAAAGAAAAAAATATTTAAAAAAGGGAAATATTCCCGGGAAAAGATATTTTATATATTATAAATAGTAAGTTATTAAATTTATATCTACTTATTATACGAATCTTATATTATATATAAAGAAATATGGTATTCTAGACAAGTTAAGCACAAAAATAAAGAATGTCCGTCTTCTTTCGTTACAGTTCTCTGCACTTGTCCTCACATGACACCGATTTCAGGGTTTTGAGTCCTCAAGCGGAACGAAAAACAGTTTGCAGAATTCTTCATTTTTCTCTTTATATTATACGCGTGTGTATATCCTATACTTTACTTCAAAAATTATTTCTCACTGTAATTTTCTTTTGAAAACAGTTATTAATTTTTGCGAGTTACTGCTGTTTATTAATTCGCGTAAATGCGTTTGTCATACATTTTTTTTAAATAATATAAATTTTCAAATTACAATCTATATTATTTAAATCTATATTTTTTGTTACAAAACTTAATAAAAAAATTAATAAAAAATATTTTGCATTTAGTAATACATACACAAATGTTATATATATATATTTTTTATCAATTTTTATTTAAATATATTGAAATCTTTAACAAACGTAGTAAAATCGTAATATATTAATTATTGATGAAAATTAAAAATAATCGATTTTACTATGTTTGTAAAAGATTGCAATTATATTATCGTTATTATTATTAATATTAATTAATACCACATTAACCAAATAAATGTTATCGGTCTGTTACATAAATATTATTCATTTTTCTCTGTGTAGCTGCGATTGTAACGGTTAAACTTCTGTTTCGCACAGTCTTAACGATTTAAGTATCTACCGTGCAGGAAGTAATTATGCCTTCTACTGGCGCATCGAAGATTTGTCTTCGAGCGGGGAAGTTCGAGTATTGTATAGCGGAAACTCTCTCTTCACGTGAGAACGGTTCGTTTCTCGTGGTTTCATTAACATACAATTATCGAAAGAGAATGCTATATACAATTAAATCGGCTACCTTCGACGAACACATCTTAGAAACGATAATAATAGCAATATTTTATTGTATAATTTTGCGTAATAAAACAATTAATCACAACATGACAATATAAAGGTAAGAAATAAACAGTAAAATGTCTTACAATAATTAAATTCTAAATTACTTTTTCTGCATTTAATTATTCATTAATACTTATTTTCGTGAAATATCATTCAGACTTGTATCAGAGGAATTTTTTTTTCTCTAGATAATCTTAAGGACAAAATTAAAAATGTATATTTTATTAATTTTAATTTGTTTTTATTAACTATTTTATGTTATTAATTGCGATTATTATAGTACTTATTGATCAGAGTTTGTTAATTATATGTTATTTTAAACTTATCAGTAGGCGATTCTTTATCGAAGGTAACCCAAGATTAAATATAATGTAAGATTTGAAAATGAGCACTGAACTTACAGATAACATGTGCTGATAGAGAATATTGCCCAAACCCATACGTTGTCGCGACTCGTGCACGTAGAAATCCAAAATACATCTCGCCTGCAGCTGATAATGCTCTCCCATTTCATCAAACAGAAACAAATTTTTCGATCCCGTTTTCAATAATCCCACCACACTACCGAGTCCACTGCAAAACCAAGAGATTTTATTATGCGAATGAATCACAGTTTCCTACGAAACGACTTTGAAAAATACTATGTCACGTCGCGTCGTTACAGTATCGTAATGATTGCCAAGTAATGCGTAATATCTGTGTATGGTCTGATGCGTATCTCATACTCCAGCAGGAGTCGACAAAACGCTGAAATTGGGCACGTGCGCCCACGAATGCTTGCGAGTGCCCGGCTGTGTGCATATTGCATGTCAACAACTCAGGAGCGTATTCTATTTTTATATCTTGGATTAAAATTTTGCATTTCATACACTTACTACAAAAATAGTGTTGCGCGTATATATAAACAGTATAATCTCAAGTCTTGAGCATTTTCAAAAACTTTTAGAAAGAATCTCTAAAGAATAAACTCTCACTCTTAAAGATTGAAAATTGAGCCATTGTTTTTCAAATCCGACTGGCACAATTTTTATTTTTAAGAATAAAATTCCACGCCAAAGAATTTAGAGAGTAACGATAATAGTGTAAATATAAAAGATTCTTAATACTTTTAGATCTACAAGAATAATCTTAGATATGATTAAACAAATGTTAAATTGAGAAAACTTTCATACAATTGCAAAATAATATCCTGTTCATAAACGCGCAAAATACAAAACTGTACGTAAACAAAGGTTTACGTACAATTAGTATGGCATACATACAATTAGTATGGCAATCGTCATGTCTATCTTTCTATTTTCACTTTATTTGTAGCCTAGCCGGCCTAGCGCGGTCAGCTATTGTCTATTTGAACGTCTGCGAGCAGTGCCTACTTGCCAATATTTTCGGCTAAAAAATGTCCATTTTAGGTATTATTTTAACATCATTCTATATTTCTTTAAAATTCGCGAATTTAAGATATTTCAATTCATCGAACGAGGTAACTATCAATAATAAAAACCATTGTATTTTATATGATTTTGAATATTAATAGTAAAAAATTTTTTTTTAAATTTAAAAAGACTTTTTTTTTAAGAACTTATTAAAGAGAGAGTTAAAGATCAATTGGATTATGTATCGAAATATAGAAAATTGAATACAGTGTTGTCTATATAACACAAGCAATAGTACCAATCTCAAGAGTAAATAATTATTTATGTAACAAATATATTATATTTCAAGTAAATCTATCTAAATGGAGAGAAAAACTTACTTGTTCCCTTCACTATCTACTAGCAAATAAACCATGTGATCTGTATCTCGGAGTTTAAGGGCGCTAGTAATTGGCTTGTTGAGTCCTTGAGCTCTCGCTGATGCCTCGCCCATATCGTCCAGTATTCTGCTCAATAATCTCTGACATTCGCTAAAAAAAAGATTATGCTTATCAGACACCTACGTTTATATTTGCAAGCAAATAAATCAAATACATTTGCAAACAATTTTAATTTGCAATTAGTAGATTTAATTAGATACGTTGATATACAAGGCGCTTTATATAATTTGTACACAAATTTTGTAATATTTTTTATTTATCTCTATTTTTATAACATGATTAATTAAGAAAATGTAATCTAATATAGTTAGAAGAAAATATCTGAAAGCATTCTAAACGTAATTACGGAAAAGGTAATATAAGAAATAAATATATGTGAAGAATTTCTGATTAAAATAATTTTAATGTAAAATATCAAATCAAATTGTTGCAGATACCTCTTAAATTAGATGCAAGTTAAAAGTAACATCAAGAGGGGAGAGAGAGAGAGAGAGAGAGAGAGAGAGCGCATCGCTAGTTTTTCAACGCTACAATTACAATCGCTACGGATATAACGATTTTACATAGCGATTACACGCTGAAATAGTACGAAACAGTCACGTTCTACTTTTCGTCTTCATATTTTATGCTACTAGCATCAATCTCCTAAAACTATGCTAATTAATTCTCATCCGATGTTCTTGTGTCAAGGACAAAACATTTTTTAAAACTAGCGGAAAATAGCTATAGCATCAAGATAAACTTTTATGTCGACTAATTCTTTTTACATTAAACGGAGAATAATAAAAAAAAAACTTTACTTTTATACATAATAATTTTCAACTAATACTAAACCAATACATAAAGCTGGCGCAATCATCTGAATAATAATAAAGTAAATTATTTATTAAATAGAAAGATATTGATTTGTTAAGACATAAGATGGAACAGTTTCTCATGCATTCTGTAATAATCAATATTAAATATTGTAGCGCAGCATGCAATATTTAATTTCATATTCGATTAGATTACACAAAATTATACGTTAGAAAATTATATAGATGCAATTATTTACGCCGTTCTAATAAGAAAGATTCCTCGTGTAACACATTATTCAGTTACGGCGATGACCTGATTCATGTTTTGGACGCGCGCCAATCCATTTTAGCGATAAAGATCGGGTTAATTTATTCTATCGGTATTACATCTTCTCCTATGGTCATTATATGCTATTGGCGTAAAGTATGATGGATTGTACGACGAAAAAACGTGAGTAATCACCGAACGTGGAAAGTTGCGTTGCGAAATCTACAGCTCTTAAAGACATGAAATTTCACGGAAGTATCTTACATAAGACGCTTGCTTAACTTTGACAATAGATTACTTAATTTTTACAGTACTGTATTTTTTAGCTTTTAACAAATTTTATTGAAGGATCGAAAACGCTTCCTTGTATCTTACATCACTTAGAAGAAATATTACTGTAGAATTTTAATTATTAAAAAAAAAATATTTTTCTTCACAACAAGTATTTGACATATTCTTATAAAAGTGCATCGCATATTTACGTTTATATCTCAATTTATGTAATTAACAAAATTATGCAATCTCAAGATTAGTTTCGGTACAAACATATAAATAAAAAGGAAATATGAAAAAATGAATCTTCGCGCTTCTGTTATATTATATTGCTAAAACGTAATGTTACTGCAACATTGCTAGAATGATCTACAAGTACTGTATGATGGGTTAATATCGAAATAATAATTTTGTAGCGCGTGTCATTGCATCAACTGCTCCTGTCAAGGAGGACAGGTATAGGTATAACCGGAAAACTGATAACTTAGGTTTTCTGTATACCTACAATAAATAACGAAGGAGAGAGAGAGAGAGAGACAAATCTTTCACGGTGAGAAACCACGATACTTCTCTGCCATTTCGTCATAGATTTCCGCGACCGTCGCGAGTCACTGCCCAAGAATTCGATAGAAGTTATTGCAAGTGAACCGAGTTCCTTGAACCGAGAATCTACGGAATATACAAAACCGTCTGTCCGACTTAACTGTTCGAAAAAACTCATTTACTTCGCAATTCGCTAACTTTCTTATGACAGGAAGCTATCACGGAGAGAGAAGAGTATCCCACCGTCTGTTGCAACGAATATGAATTGAATAAATGGAATGCGGAATCTCATCTAGCTAGACTTTATCGTGGAAATTGCTTATATAACATCATAACCTAAATCTTAATTATATAGGAATGATGATATATAAAACTACATTGCTCTCTGCAGAGCTTCTAAGTATTCCGCATTGACTCAATTAGCTATAACGCAATAGCAGATTTGAACACGTCAGTAACATTCTTTCAGCAATTAGATAATGGGTGTATTCTCGTTATTAGTTGGTGTCTTATCATTTATCGAAAAGATATGAAACATTAAAAAAGTGAGTCGATGGAATATCTTGTTTAAAGTGATTACGCTTAAATCATATTTAATTGTTTACTGTATTGTTATTCTTTACGATAAGAAAGAATATCGAGCACGAAATAAATAAGCCTTCTTAAATGCTGCAGTGCATATTCGCTCAAAATAAATTATAGATCTGGAATTCATAACAAGATTTATAATTGTGCGCGCATGCGTGCATGTATACCAGACAGCACACAATATTTATAAAATATTCTCAAAATATTTATAAATATTTATAAGATTTATTTTAAATATCTTGTAAATATTTTTGTGGTCACAGATTGCTTAGGTTGCACAGATCATAAACATTTATTATAAATATTATGAAATATTTATTGTAAATGTTATAGCAAGTGCTATGAAAATACTTAATGAGACGTTATAATTCAAGTAAAAAATACTTATTAGAAATATTTATTTATAATATATTTATCATAAACATTACACATAAAATTTTTAGTCTATATTTTAATAATATTTTGAATAAAGCTTTACATAAAATATGTATGAAATACATAACATTTAAAAAAATGAATATTAACAAATATCATAAATATTTATCATAAATATTCTGTGCTGTCTGAGTATGAATATGAATGTGCGCGCGCATGTGTGCGCATCACATATACATAATATATCTTCTTACTTTAAAAATAATATAACTTTTAAATGTAATGTAATTTACGAGTTATTACCATGAATGAGTTTAGTAAATTATTCTATCGATCATCAAAAGTAAATTAACTTAACTTATTCGTAAAAGAATCATCAAAATCAGCGTAATTAAAAAACAAATTTTTTTAAAAAGGTAAACTCGTCAACTTACAGAGGATGATTTTTAAAGGTTGTAAACTAAAATAACGAAAATGACAGTTGATCCTATTAAGAATATTTCTTTGCTGATATTATTTTATTAGTCAATAATATTATCTGTCATTTAAAAATTACTTTCCTCATTTTCTGGAAAACTTTTTTACTTGTGCCGCTTTTGAAGTACCTACTGGATCAATATACACGTACATTTTACGTTAGTAAAATGTATAAATTTTACGTCATAAATCTAAAGGTATATCTTTATATTTATGACGTCACAATTTAATAAATACAGAAAGCCGATGAAATCACTTGCAAAGTCGCAGAACGGGCGCGAGTTTCGATGTATAAATGGACATTGCGTAGTATGATTGATAATTCGGGAGAGCTATACTATTTTAGGATCTCGGAAAGTAGAGTACTCACTTCAATTCACGTCGATCACCTTTGAAGTCTTCCGGCACGAGATTGTGCGTGACCTTGTTGATCTTTCTAGGCAAGAGTTTATTTACGTTGAACTTGAACTCCATATCGATGAGATGATGGAAGGGATCACCGGCTGTCACCGTTGTGATTGAAAAGAATTTAATCGCTGCACTTCCTCGTTCTTGGCCTTTTTGCTACCTTGTTCTCTTTTACCACGTTCCGCGTTCTATCCCGATGAATAATCGCGAGACTGTTTTTGCGACCCTGCGTTTACCGGGAGCGACAACGGGCTCGCCTTGAATATGGCCGTTGTTCGCGCACCCTTTCGCGGCAACTTCACTTCGCGTTGTTGATTGTCACGTGAACATTGATCGGTTTCCTCCCTCCTCTCTCCCTCCTCCCTCTTTTCCGCCTTCTTCCCTTTTCCACTCTCTCTCTCTCTCTCTCTCTCTCTCTCT